AAACATTATTGTGCAGCACATAAGATCAACAGAACACAGTGTGCTTTGAGGTAGGAGCCAAAAAGGGTGTAGTTACACCTGTGAGCATGGACGCGCTTGTTTTTTTAAAAGGTTCCTTCATGTAATGATCTGCTAGAGGGTGTGGGGGGGCCACAGCCCCGTCCTCCAGGGCATGAAGCAGAGTATGGAGGAGATCAAAACTCCAGACATCCAGAGGCCCCCAGAACACAAGAGACCAAGGAAGACCAACAGAGGGGCAGCCGCGCCACTGTCCCAGTAAAGAGCTGAGGAGAGTCCCAGATGAGGGCTCACTCAGCAGCCGCGGAGCAGAAGCCAGGGGGAGTTGCAGTGACGCGCCCGTGAGCTCCGCCGGCAGCCAGCTGTGCCTGAGTGACCGAGCCCCAGGCCGAGAGGCCGGGGGCACCCCACCTCCGAAGTGGCCCGAGCGAGCCCCAGGCTCCAGGCCCCGATAAGCGGCCGCCAAGGAGTGAGCCGGTGTGTACCTGGACGCCCATCCCCGAGACACAAAGAACCACCAACGCACCGATGTCTGAGGGAGTCCGCCACTGGCAGGGGAAGTGGTGGTGGGGGGAGATAGGCCTCCAAACCTTGGAGGGCCTGAGATGTCCCCAGAGAGGTGGCGTCTGATACCCAACCTGACATATAGACACAGACATACAGGCACACACAGATACAAACATCCATTCCCACCCTCATGCTCTCATATGCACTTACTCCACACTCAACCAACGTGGAGACAGACATAAAGAGACGCTGTACACACGATCACACTCCCCAAGCGTACTCTACAAACCGGGTCTAGGTACCCTTGCCCCTGGAGGGGGGAACTGCACCCAGACCCAGGTGGTGTTACCCTTTTCCCTGCGGTGGGGAGAGGCAGACCGCCCCGACTCCGCAGCAGCAGGGAGGCCCCACACTCCAGACCGCAGTCGGACGGCCAACTCCTCCTAGCCCCCCCCGCTCCAGCGGGCCGCAGAGAACGGGGGTGAGAGAAGACATAAACATAATAACTTGATACTGTCACTGGTTTCAAACTGAAGGAGTGTTCACAAGAAATCATCAGTATCAAACTGTGACAATAAAAAATGTTCATTAAAGCAATCAAGAATGAGTTTGATGTGAATCTTTGGTAATACATGGGGGAAGCTCTGTGCCAGTTTTATCATACTGTACCTCCCTCCATCCAACCACACACTTCTTTGGGTTTGCCATCAGCCCTGCCTGCCTCACAGACTCCGTGACCAACCACTGCACATGATCCACCGAGGTATCACTATGAATGACAACATCATCCAGGTAGGAATTAACATATGCAGTGTGAGGACACAGCTATCGCTCCAGCACGTGCTGAAAAATGGCCGCGGTTCCAAAGAAGCCAAACACAAGAGTGACGAATGGTACAAACCATACAGAGTGCAGAAGCTCGTTTTTGTCTTTGGACTCTGCAGACAAGGGAATCTGCCCGTAGGCGTTGGTTAAATCCAACATGATAAAAAATAAGCAGTGCTTAACCAGTCCAGGTCAACCTGGGGCATGGGATAAGCATCAATCCATGAAACCTTGTTCACTTTGTGATAATCATCACAGAACCGTATAAAACCGTGCGCTCACTTCTTAATTACCTGGAAGCACCTTAAAGACAACCGGCCCCTCTCAACAGCTGCGACAAATCATCTGGAGGAAAGGTAAGCATAGGAGACCAAACACTGAGGAACAAATCCTCATTTCATCCTATGATAACAGCATTTTCACCATTTCAGCCAATTCCTTTTGCACAATTGGTCTCTTGTGCTCAGGCAACATGTTAGGTCATGAACGCACTTTCACGACAAGCTGCGTTTCAAAGTGGTGCTCCATGAGAGTCATGCAGCCAGGCAGGGGGGAGAACACATCTGCAAACCGATGTTGCAATGCAGGAACATTTGCCTTCTGTGAGATATTCATTACAATGAATGTTAAACACACTCTGTGAAAACTTCATGCCCACATCTTGTTTTTAAGAAAAATCAAACATCTTTGTCCTTGAAGATCATTTCAGAGTTTTTAATGAGCTGCAGGAACCCTGTGCTGTGAGTGGAGAACAGCCAAGTCTCCTCCTGTGATAAACCTCCACATGTACGACTGAAAACAGTTAAATTACTTTGAATCTGAAATCAGGGCTCAAACTACTTGCTGTGAGACCATTTCTTTATTTTTCAAAGTTCATCAAATATAGGATCAAATCAAATCACGATTTCATAATACAAACTTCAAATCAACAAGAAAACAGCTGCAGAACATGTGGATCAAAATGAATTCTTTAAAATAACAACATGTGGAGTTCAAGAACACAGTAAACACACTAAAGGAGCGAAAAATAGAGGTTTAATAGAATTTGAATTTTTGATCTTGTAACATTTCTTTGCTGCCACTGTGAATATGAATGTGATCTTTGCCTAATTGAATAAAGGTTACACTGACTCACTGCTCCATCTTCTGGTACAAACTGGTATTACATGGAAGTACAGCCCAAAACCAGTTTAGCTTGAGTTTCTTTTTTCTGGACATAAAGTCACAGCAGGTGTCGTTTCAAAGCTGGTGGACAGATTTAGTTAATTTTGGAAGTTTTAAGAGCAACTGCTGTGAAATTATTTGCAATTTTGGGAGAAAAGGTTCAAAAGAAGAAAAAGCAAAAGTTTAAATATGAATGAAGAATTGAAATTTAACTGAGGTAACACATTAAATGAATACATTTAAAAAAAGAAGTTAATTTTGGAAACACTAAGAAAGTTCAAATGAAAGAAATTGAAATATATATCCATATCTGCAATCTTGATACAAAGTCTGTTTGGTAAAAAAGACATTCCTATAACTTTAATAGTACAACTACTAAACACTACTGTGTCCTAAGGGAACAAAGGTTAAAATGTAACAGGGATAACATTTTAGAGAATTAAAATCCCTCAAAGGAAAAAACAAACTTGATATGCATATCTATACATGCAGCTTCCTAAATGTAACATTCAGGATTATTCACTGCAGCTCCAGAAATCAGAGCTACAAGTGTGGCATCAGCTGACACTCTTTACAGGAGATTCCATCTGAACTCTGTGGAGCCTGATCTCAAGGTTTTTAAGTCTGAGCCTGAAACCAGAAGAGGATCTTTCTCTCTCTTCAGATTCATTGTGATCCAGTGATTTCAGTCCTGCATGATCAGGCTGATGTTTGCACAGAGCAGATAATGAAGTGAAGGTTTTTGCACATTGGTAACAGTGAAACAGTTTATTTACAGCGTGGAATCGTTTGTGTTCGGAGTATGAACTGAGATTCCTGAAGCTCTTGTCACACTGGTCACAGCTGAAGTTCACTTCCATGTGTGTACGTTCATGTTTGTTACGATGACCTGATTGTGAGAAGCTTTTGTCACAGTGTCTGCACTTGTATGGTGTCTCTCCTGTGTGGATTCGCTTATGCTTTTCCATTGAGGTCATGTCCAGTGGTGAAGGATGACCCACACTGGTCACAGATGTGCTTTTTGACCCCACTGTGGAAGAGTTTTTGTATTTTTAATGTACTTGGTGTGGAAGCCTCTCCCACATTCTTTGCAGTACTTCATTTTGTCTCCAGTGTGGCTACGTTGATGTGGTTTTAGGTCCCGTTGATGATTGGAGGTTTTTCCTCAAAGGTTAAAAAGAAACTCTTTCCCACCACCACAGTGACGACAGGGTTGAGAACTGGATCCATCTGTGTTGCTCTGCTTTTTTTATTTTTATCCTCAATGTTGCCTGAAACAAAGAGCATCTCTGCCAATGTCCAATTACATTTTACTGTTTACATTATAAGACTGAGTTTACTGAATGAAAATGACTCTTCATTTTTCCCAAACAGTTCATTCAGTATAACTCCGTAAGTTTACTGATCAGACTTGTTCCAAACACTCGGGTTACAATTACAAGATAAAAAAATCAATACAGCCTCACAGTAACTGCACTTGTAGAGTTATTTTCTGGTGTGGATCCGTCGGTGGTTTCTCACGTGATATGGAGATTTAAAAGTCTTCTCACACAGGTCACATTTATAAGGTCTCTCCTCAGTGTGGCTAAACATGTGTAGTTGTAACTGTGCGTCTGTTATAAACAGTTTCCCACACTGATCACAGCGGGAAACATCATTTCCAGTGTGAATCCGTAGGTGACCATTTCGGTAGTGTTTGTCGCTGAAACCTTTTCCACAAAACTTGCAGCTATATGCCTTAATTTCAGAATGGGTAACTAGATGCCTCTGTAAGTTGTTTTTTTGAGCAAAAGCCTTACCACAAAACTCACAGCTGTGTGCTTTAACTCCACTGTGCACGATACAGTGTGATTTTAAGCTTTGATAATGGGTAAAAGACTTTCCACACAATTTGCAGCTGTAAGGTTTAACTCCACTGTGGACGTGTTGGTGTGTTTTAAAGGATTGAGCGTGGGTAAAAGACTTTCCACACAAGTGACAGTTGTACGCTTTAACTCCACTGTGGATGAGTTTGTGTGATTTTAAGCTTTCAGCCCGGGCAAAATCCTTCCCACACAAGTCACAGCTGTAAGGTTTAACTCCACTGTGGATGAGTTGGTGTTTTTTAAGCTCTCCAGCCCAGGGTAAAAGACTTTCCACACAAGTCACAGCTGTAAGGTTTAACTCCACTGTGGATGAGTTGGTGTTTTTTAACTTCCAGCCTCGGTAAAAGACTTTCCACACAAGTCACAGCTGTAAGGTTTAACTCCACTGTGGATGAGTTGGTGTTTTTTAAGTTCCAGCCAGGGTAAAAGACTTTCCACACAACTCACAGCTGTAAGGTTTAACTCCACTGTGAGAGTGAGTTGAGTGTGTTTTTTAGTGTCCAGCCTAAAAGACTTTCCACACAAGTCACAGCAGGTTTAACTCACTGTGGATGAGTTGGTGTTTTTTAAGTTCCAGCCTGGGTAAAAGACTTTCCACACTCATCACAGCTGTAGGTTTTCTCTCCCTTTCTTCTGTGAGGTTTGTCGGCCTCCTGAGAGCGCTGACTTCTTGCTCCATGTTGGTCCTGCAGTGACAGAGATACAAACAGAGGCAGTGAGTGAAATGCAGTCGTGGAACAAACTGAAACTCCCTCCATTGGTGGAATCAAACATGTCAACAAACACATTGTTGGTGTGTTTCCACCACCTTCTGGTGACAGTATCACATTACAATGATGTGACTACAATGAGAGGTGTAATGAAAATGACATTATTGAAGAAATATATAAGTGGAGGAAATCTTTTACTTCATAAAATATTTTGAGTTCAACTGATGATATTGTTGTTTCAATATGTGCTGATAAAATATGATCTTTGTATTTTCTTCTAACTTCTGTGGTTTTTGGTTGTGAATGTAGAGTCTGTATATAAGTAGGAGCCCAGGATGCAAAAGACAAAGCTGCTGTTAATTGTGTTTTAAAAACCAACCAGTTGCACACACAGTTTCAATAACAGTGTAACTGTGATGTTTTTCTCACCTTTTGTGTTGAAGTCATTGTTTCCTCTGCAGTGGCTGAGCTGAGTCCAAATGGCTGAAATTGTCCTTCCGCTGCTCCACCAGACTCTTCTCCTCCTGTTACTCAGCTGGGACACAAAAAGTATATAGACATATTTTACCCCTTACAAAAAAAAGCAGAGCAAATAAACATTACTACACTCCTCGCAAAATCTCAAAATCCCTGGTAACCCTTCGGGCAGGGAAGGGTTTTTGGTAGCCCAAAACAAATTTAAGTAGCACAAATAAAAAAGAGAATAATTTTTTGATTGATGCTTGGTTTCCTGTTTTGTTTTCTTTACAATATTATACATTAAAGTATAATATTGTAACAGAAAAAAAATATTAATCAAAAAACTTTTTGAAAAACAAATTACAACATTGTATAAAAATTACAACTCAAATACTTGGTTCTAATTGAACAGAAATTTCTATGAACTTGTAAGAACTGTGTAGGACATGAATCAGTCTGTGTCAGATCCTGAATTTGAAATTTCCACTGAAGTCACAGGTAAGAGGAGAGTGGAACCAAGATCTAGGCCATTTGCTTTTTTGAAGTTTGCAAAGACTGCTAAATTTTGCCAGTGGTAGTTCACTCTTTCCAACATAGTACGCTGTTCTAAACAGATTTTTCAGGTTTATTTTTAGTATGTTATTTGCAATTGGTGTTTGTTCTGGGAAAGATATTGCAGAGTGAGCAATAATGCATTTCTCATGGGTTCTAATGGGGTCCTTTCTTAAAATGACTGG